CGATTCATTGATTCTATGATTCTATGATAATGTGGGGAGAAAATCGCTGGAAAGGCACTAAAAAGTCAGTTACTTCACACCAAGCAAAATTATTGCCCCACTCAAATGCACTGCTACAGATGTACTAAAGGAACTAGATTTTGCCATGCTTCCTCTATGCATCCTGTAAGGGCACTGCCCTTCCTAATATTCCTGGAGTAGAGCTTCACTGCAGGTGCTACGGGGGGGCGGGGCATGTCTACACATGCAATTAATGCAAAGCAATAAACTCCAGAGTTTATTGCTCCAATGTATTGCTCCTGGGATCACCGTTGGAACATGCACCCAGGACCACAGTACATTGAGCCGGGTCGGAGCAGCCCTATCTGGTAGAGGTTCCCAGGAGTCAGCCTGCCAGCCTAGGGCTGCTCTCCCCTGGCACAATGTGCTCTAGAGGGGTTGGCTGGGACACAAGGGTGCTCCAGTGTGGGACTAGCCAGCAGGCAGCCCCCCACACTGGAGCACCCTTGTGCCCCAACGAGCCATGTCAGCATCTCCATGTGCACTGCTGCAGAGTGAAAATCTCCGCAGAAGGATAGTATTTATATTTGCAAGTACTATCCTGCTGCAGAATTAATTAGTTTACTCCAGCCCAATTGCCCTGCATGTGAAGACACTGAAATGTTTCCTGTAGAGCTAATTAATCAAATCCACAGTAAACGTCTCATGTAGACACAGCCGAACTGTATGCAAGACGTGCCTATAAATAATTAGTGTTAGTTTCAGGAAGTTGTGTTCCCTTCCTTCTTGGCCCAACCCCAACTTCAACTTCCTTCTGGGCCCATCCCTTTTGTACGTGCTATTTTGGTTTTCATCCCTACTTATTGAATCAGGAGCCATCATACCTGCCGCAGTTTGGCAATGGATTCCTCCAGGATCACCTTGTTGGCAGTGAGTACCTCCACTGTGGGGGCTGCTCTGGACCATGCAGAGCTTGGGTGGAGCCGCAGCAAATAAACAAGCAGGATCCAACTGTCAGCTCAGAATGAAGTACTGGTCAAAACCTGCTGGGAAGGGCAAATGATGCCCACAGTGCAGACACGTTCACAAGTACAAGGGGTCCCATAACCCCTTCTGTGCTCAAAATCACATGCAGGCAGACACCGTGTGCCTTCCCCCATCCTGCCAGCAAGAACAGACTTTAACCACAGGTATGCAGCCCTGGCTGACTTGTTTGTGAAGTTCCCCTCTCCCTTCTTTATGGCATGTACCTTCTGCCACTGAAACCAAAAACAGCTTTTCCACTGAGCTCAAGAACAGCAGGCTCTGTGTCACTGTAAGAACCATTCTGCTTTGATTCCTGGTGCATCAGTAGAGTGGAGAGCTGTTACTGTCAGTCAGCTCTTACTGTCAGTGTTAGACAGCTATACCCTTTACAGGAGAGATCGAGTGGACAAAAGGGGCGGGGGCATAGCTCTCTGTGTCAAGGAAAGCTATGTGTCCCTGCAAGCTGACATTGGCACCCAGGAGGGAGAATTGGAGACCCTCTGGCTTAAAATCCGTGGGGAACATGGCATAGAGGACACAATGGTGGGAGTCTATTACAGACCTCCTACTCAGGATCAAGAGCTTGACCAGGAGTTCACAAGGGAATTGGCTGAGGCTGCACACTCCCAGTGCATGGCTGTCATGGGAGACTTCAACTACCCTGACATCTTGTGGGAAGAGTGCTCGGCCAAATCTGAGCGGTCACAAAGCTTTCTCTCATGTGTGGATGAGTTGTATCTGACACAAGAAGTCTATGCGCCAATGAGAGGTAAAGCACTGCTCGACCTGGTACTGGCAATGGGGGATGACTTAATCAGTGACCTAATGATCAAAGGGAAGCTGGGTGACAGCAACCATGAGCTGATCACCTTCACCATCCACCGTAAAGCTGGCAAGTCAGTCAGCAATACAGAAGTCTTCAACTTCAGGAAAGCTGACTTTGACGAGCTCAAGAGGCTTGTTGGCAAGGCCCTCAGGGACCATGATCCAAAGGGGAGGGGAGTACAGGAAGAGTGGTTGCTCGTCAAGGGAGCAATCCTGGATGCAAAAGCAAAGTCTGTTCCATCTTGAAGTAAAGGCAGCAAAAGGGCACAGCAGCCCCTTTGGCTCTACAGGGAACTAGTGGACCTCCTGCGTCTAAAAAGAAAGACCTACGAAGGTTGGAGGACTGGATCCACCTCCAAGGAGGAATACTCTGAACTGGTCCAGACCTGCAGGGAGCAAATCAGGAAAGCCAAGGCTGTGACAGAACTCCAGCTAGCTACAGGTATCAAGGACAATAAAAAGACCTTTTTTAGATATGTGGGGAGCCAGGGGAAAAGCAAGGGCAACATTGGACCCCTGCTAAACCAGATGGACAACTGACAACCGATGCCCAGGAAAAAGCCAACTTACTAAATGGGTACTTTGCATCGGTGTTCACCAGTCCCATGGGACGCCCCTCCCCATTACAGGACGGGAACGCCTGGGTGAGGGGGATTCCTTGCCCTCCATCAACGCTGACCTTGTGAAGGAACACCTTGAGAGGCTGGACACCTTCAAGTCAGCTGGCCCTGACAGTTTACACCCCAGGGTACTCAAGGAGCTGGGAAGCATCATAGCTCCGCCCCGGCATGGATCTTCAAGAGGTCCTGGTGCTTTGGTGTAGTACCCGAAGATTAGAAGGCCAATGTGGTGCCTATCTTTAAGAAAGGGAGGAAAGTGGATCTGGCAAACTACAGGCCCATCAGCCTGACCTCTATCCCAGGGAAAGTCTTAGAAAAGATTATCAAAGAGGCCATTCTTAACAGACTGGCCAATGGCAACATCCTGAGGGATAGCTAGCATGGGTCTGTTGCGGGTAGGTCTTGCTTGACCAATCTTATTTCCTTTTACGACCAGGTGACCTATCACCTGGACAAGGGAGAAGAGATTGATGTCATATCTCGACTTGAAAAAAGCCTTCGATCTGGTATCCCATGATCATCTTTTGGCAAAACTGTCCAAGTGCGGCCTTGGCTTCACCACGATCCACTGGCTGCGGAATTGGCTCCATGGTTGGACCCAGAGGGTGGTGGTTGATGGAAATCAATCATCGTGGTGCCCTGTGACCAGTGGGGTCCCCCAAGGCTCTTTCCTTGGGCCAACACTATTCAGTATCTTCATTAATGATGTGGATATTGGTGTCAGAAGAGGATTGGCCAAGTTCACTGATGACACCGAACTTTGGGGTAAAGCATCCATACCTGAAGACTGGAGGGCGATCCAGGCTGACCATGACAGTCTCAGAAAATGCGCGGACGGGAACCTGATGACGTTTAACATTGAAAAATGCAAGTTTCTCCACCTCGGGAAGAAAAACCCGCAGCACGCTTATAGGCTCGGCAGCGCTACACTGGCTAGCACTACGGACGAAAAGGACTTGGGGGTCATGACTGACCACAAGATAAACATGAGCCTTCAATGTGGTGCTGTGGCTAGTAAAGCAAGCAAAATGCTAGCCTGCATCCATAGATGCTTCTCGAGCAAATGCCAGGATGTCATTCTCCCATTGTGCTCGGCCTTGGTGAGGCCGTTGCTGGACTACTGCATCCAGTTTTGGGCTCCACAATTCAAAAAGGATATGGAGAAACTCGAAAGAGCCCAGAGGAGAGCCACACACATGATCAGAGGTCAGGAAAACAGACTGTATGATGAGAAGCTGAGAGCTATGGGTCTCTTCAGCCTAGAAAAGCGCAGGCTCAGGGGTGATCTGGTGGCCACCTATAAGTTTATCGGGGTGCTCACCAGGATACGAGGGAACTTCTGTTCACCGGAGCGCCCCAAGAGGTGACAAGATCAAATTGTCACAAACTCCTCCGTGACCATTTCAGGCTAAATGTAAGGAAGAAATTCTTTACTGTCTGAGCTCCCAAGGCCTGGAATAGACTGCCGCTAGAGGTGATTCAAGCACCTACTTTGAACGCCTTCAAGAGAAATTTGGATCTCTGTCTTGCTGGGATCCTATGACCCCTGCTGACATCATGCCCCTGGGGCAGGGGGCTGGACCTGATGACCTTCCAAGGTCCCTTCCAGCCCTACTGTCTATGAAATCTCTGAAGCCCTTTGAGAAACCTAAGCATATGGAAAGACATGCACATGAAGCACTACAAATCCTGCCCTAATATGAATGTCTAATTCAGTACTATATACACATTCAGGCCCCATCCTTGATGAAGAACTTCATAAAGTGCTAGAGCTGTTGCTCTGGTGCTACTCCGTAGCCAGAGGTTTTGCAAGGAGGCATCCCAGAATGTCTCTCAGCCTCTGGGCCGTGATTTCTTCCCAGAGCTTTGTGGATAATTGACTCCATGCTTCCTGCCACTGCAGGGCTGATCAGTTTAATCTCAGGAGGTTGCCCAAGTTCCATGTGCACTGCATTCCCAGTGGGAGCAGAGAATACCTTGGTAAACATGTTGACAATTGCCTGAAGGTCTGCTTCTGAATGAGCACAGACTACATCATGAGAGTACTGGAACTCAGTGATTGAGGTCAGGGTAGTCTTAGTTATGATGATTACTTTTGGTTGGTATCCCCCACAGTGCTTCTTGGCTAACACAGTCAAAGGCTTTCATGAGGTCAAAGAAGGATACGTAGAGAGGTTTATGTTATTCCTGGCATGTTATGCTATTTACCTGCAGTAAGTGAGCTATGAAGATCATGTCAGTTGTGCCTCTTGATGCCCTAAACCCACACTGAAATTCTGGGTGGAGCTCTTCAGCAAGTGAAAGGAGATGGTTCAGGAGGGTTCTCACAATGATCTTTCCTGTGGTGAACAGCAAGGCGATCCCTCTGTAGCTTCCACAGTTGGACTTGTCTCCTTTCTTGAAGACTGTCACAATCATGGTCTCCCTGAGGTCACCTAGGATTTCCTCATCATTCCTCATCATTAATATGACGGCATGGAGCTGTGACGTGAGCTTCTCTCCCCCTTGCCTGAAGATTTCAGTGGGGATTCCATCAGCTCCAGATGCCTTGTTATTCTTCATCTACTTAGTGGCTTTCCTCACCTTATCAAGGGATGGAGGGATTCCAAGATTGTCTCTGACAGGGTGCTGCAGGATGGAGTTGAGAACACTCTCATCAACAACAGTGTCCTGGGACACAAGAATACTCACCGGCAACTAGGAAAACAGCACGTGGAGGGCAGAACACAGAACCCGCGTGGCTCGTCAGCCGCCTGTTTATACAGCTGCAGCTGGCCGGCTCAGCTAAAAATGACGGCGCACACTGCAGAGCCAGCAGGAGGAGGGAGAGTGCTGCTGCTGAGGTCCCTGCAGCAGAGACGAGCGCAGGCACAGGACCCGGAGAGCAGGAACGGCCAGGACAGAAGTGAGGAGGAGGAAGAGGAGCATCTCGGCGATGCTGCAGACAAGGCGGCAGTTGGACGCCAGGATCACCACAGAGGGATGGCAGAAGGCACTCTGAGAGAGATCTGACCCAAGGGAGAGGGACGGTGAGGAGTCCAGGGAGAATTGCCACTGGAGGGAACATTGCCGCTGGATCGGGAGGTGCCTTAGAGTAGGCAGGGAACTGGGTGCCTAAGGGGATGAGGCAGCCAGTGTCCCGATGAAATGCGGGAGGGTAGTTAAAGGGGCAGTAAGCCCAGTTTTGTGTTTTGGGCTTCCTTTTCCTTTCTTGTTGATTTTGGTTCTACCCCAGGCCCAAGGGGTACAGGAGGGTAGCCGACCCACTCTGTGGGCCAGATAGTGTTGGGAGGGGCCCAAGCAGGACCCGGTAGGGGGTCCTAGGAGCAAGACACCGACCAGCTTGTTGCCACTACACAGGAGGCGTGATGCCAGGGTGTAGGGGTGGCAGAGCCCCGAGAATAACCGCCAGGAGGAACCTTAGGGCCAACGAGCATGCCTGATGAACGGCCCCGGACATTGAGGTCATCAAGTCGTGACAGGTGAGCACGGGGTCAAGGATTCAGGCAGAA